CCTAAGCACCGATGAGTTGGCACATTAATTCATTGGTGGATAAAGATTTTGTGAGTTCCAATCCACCAATAAATTAATGTGCCAACTCATTGGTGTTTAGGATAAGATGAGCACCGGTGCTCATTAGATCATTTCTGAAGTTCGTTAATCTATATTGTCCCAAATTTTGTCACAAACCTCTCCAAGAAAAAATAGAAAAAAAAATAAATGTAATCCAATATAGATCTTGAGAGCTGCGATTAGAGTTTTTCATATCCTATTTTTTCTTGTAGTGAATAAAAAAGCAAATATTAGAAGACAGGCAAAAAAAAAAAAAAAACAAACTTCACATTGAAAAGACAAATATGCCCTTCATCAACTCACTCAGTCTCCTCTTGCTGAAATCATAGAGGTTTTTGGGATCCGTGTATTGCCTAGCAACCTCCTACCCCTACCCTACCCTACCCCCTGCTCCCCCACCCAAAGAGAAAGAGATAAGTATGATTGTCCATTTTTATTTGAAAGAAAGTAATATTTTTCATTTCATCAACCATTCCTCTTCTTCTTCTTATCAAATCAAACTCCTTAGGGTTTTTCTTTTTTCCTCTGTAAAACTTCATGCATGAACTGCATAACTTGTATTAGCTAGTACCAAAATCTCTCTACAAATCTTAAAATATTAATGGCTAACTCAATGAATAATTGGTTGGGATTCTCTCTTTCACCTCAAGATCATTTCCCTTCTCAAGATCACTCACAAAACTCAGTTTTCAACTCAGATGAAATCTCAGCCACACAAGTTTCATCAAGTGAATGTTTTGATCTATCTTCTGACTCAACTATTCCTTCTCTTAACGTTCATGCCCCTTTTGCCATTTTAGAAGATTTCCAAAGGAACAATAATTCACAAGGTCGGTCTTTCGATCATATATACGACAGGTTCTTGAGTATTCATCTGTCTTTTGTCTAGTCTAATTTAGCGTAGTCTGAGTAGAGATTTTTCTACTTTTTTGTTCACTTTATTTGCAGATTGGAATATGAAGGCTGCTCGATTGAACTCATGCAGCAGTCAAAACCTGGAGAATCAAGAAAGGCCAAAACTGGAAAACTTTTTTGGAGTTTCTGGGCATACTTTTAATGATCAAGAACACAAGAAAACCATTTCTACTGATACTTACATATACCAAGAATCTGCCGAGGTCACCTCTCAAACATCAAGCAACAATAATACTATTGGCCTCTCCATGATCAAGAACTGGCTGAGAAATAACCCGGCACCGCCACAAGCGGCTGAGAACAAAGGTGATGACGAGGCGGTGCTACCACCACCGAGGTCTAGTAGCGTACAGAGTTTGTCACTTTCAATGAGAACTGGCTCACAGTCAAGCTCCCATTTGCCAGTTACTACTGTAAATGGTGAGAGTTCTACATTTGGTAACAATGAACAGCAGCTTAAAAATGCTCTTGATAGCCAAACTGGTGCAATAGAGGCTGCACCGAGGAAATCTATAGATACATTTGGACAAAGGACATCTATCTACCGCGGCGTAACAAGGTTTTTTACTTAAATGCTACAATATATATTTTTTTCTATATATACAACTCCGAGGAGGGTTAAATCTTATGAAATGAATCCTATTTTGTTGTTCAGCCCCTCCCAAAGGGAGAGTGGTCGAGGAAACATGTAACAGATTCCAAATTTATTGTGAATCCAAAAGTTTTTCTTAAGGGTTTCTGTTTGTGCAGGCATAGGTGGACCGGCAGATATGAGGCACATTTATGGGATAATAGTTGTAGAAGAGAGGGACAGACCCGGAAAGGAAGGCAAGGTATGAATAAATTGTCTGCCATTATTTCAATAATTTTAATTTGTGAATATTAAATTATTTCCTTGCTTTTAACTCTTGTTTTATTGTCTCAATATGTTTGTTCTTTGTTGGTGCTGCTGATTCATTCTTTCTGTAGTTTATTTAGGTAAGTAATTTCATTTTCCCTCTTCAATGTATGTTTCCATTAAGAATTTTTGATTAATTTAAATCAATTTCCTCTTTCTTTTGGTTAAAATTTTACAGGAGGTTATGACAAGGAAGAAAAGGCTGCTAGATCTTATGATTTAGCAGCATTAAAATACTGGGGAACTTCTACAACTACAAATTTTCCAGTGAGTATATTTCTGGGTTTTCATCCACTAGTTTTCGTTTTTGGGTTTATCCTTTTCTTATAAGTACATATTCGAACATTCTCAGATGAGCAACTATGAGAACGAAATTGAGGAAATGAAGCTCATGACGAGGCAGGAATATGTAGCATCATTAAGAAGGTAAACTCATATTAATTTCTACATTCTACAGTTTATTCGACGAGGAAAAAAATAGTGGATGAACGCTTAATGTACTGAACATATGTTTCTCATCCAGGAAGAGTAGTGGATTCTCTCGAGGTGCGTCAATTTATCGAGGAGTCACAAGGTAAAAAGAAATGAAAATTGTCTTTAAACTTAGTATTGAACGGTGTTCAATGACATGCACGACTGTACTAGGGACCTCAAATCTATTAGAAACGAGACTTAATTTATTGTAATTCTGATATAGAATCTATGATCAACAGACACCACCAGCATGGTAGATGGCAAGCAAGAATTGGAAGAGTTGCTGGGAACAAGGATCTCTATTTGGGAACTTTCAGTAAGCGTTTCGTCTCGATTTTTGAAGATTAAATTTAAGCCTCCATTAGGGAATAATTTATATACGGTTTAACTCATAAATAGATAGATATGAATGGTGGATAAGTAGATACTACTATTGGGTTCATAAAAATGAAGTTTCAGCAATTTATAAATGACCTATAAATTTGCTAAACGGAGGCCAAGTAAATAATCGTTTTATCCCTCCAACTACTCAAAATTTTAGTTAAGGTAGTTCAACTTGATATCGTAGTTGGCTGAAGCCTCTAAAAACTGCAGGCACGCAGGAGGAAGCGGCCGAGGCCTACGACATTGCAGCGATTAAATTTCGAGGATTAAATGCCGTAACTAATTTTGAAATAAACAGATATGATGTCAAAAGTATACTAGAGAGCAGCACATTGCCAATTGGAGGGGCTGCTAAGCGCCTCAAGGATGCCGAAATGGCTCTAGATAAACAAAGGAGTTTTGATGAGAACCCGATTCATTTGACCGATGGACTTAATAGCTATAGCGCGCATCATGGCTGGCCAGCCATTGCTTTCCAGCAAGCTCAGCCACTGAGTATGCTCACACCTTATCCTTATAGCCACCAAAGACGAGATCTTGATGTCAATCAAAGTTTTCGTGATCTTCATCAACTTCAACTAGGAAATGCACAAAATTTCTTGCAACATTCAGTGTTGCACAATCTCATGAGCCTGGATTCTTCTTCCGTTGAACACAGCTCGGGATCGAATTCAATCATTTACAGCAACAATGGAACAGGGGATGGGAATGGAACCGAGGGTAACTTTTTCGCGCCAATGGGAACCGTGTTAGCTCAAGAAGAAGTGAAGCCACTTGATTATGAAAATATGTTTGGACCGGGGTCGGGGGATCCTTATCTTCAGGAAAGAAATTTCTATTATCAATCTCAGCAACCTTCATCAAATAGCATAGTGAAGACTGCTAGTGTTTGTGATCAGGCCTCAACTTGTAACAATTGGATTCCTACTGGTGTACCAACTCTTGCTGCTAGGCCTAACAATATGTCTGTTTGTCCTGGAGCTTCAACTTTTACGGTGTGGAACCAAACATAAGATTTGATCAGTGGATCGACTGGAAAGTTAAGGATGTATACATGACTAACATCTAACTCTCTATTTTTCCAAATTTTCTTCTGAAAAATGCCAAGAAACGTAGGATTTTAAGGTTATCTATCCTTTGTTGATTTATATATTTTAGTTTTTTCTGCTTGATGCCAGCAAACTCTATTTGGATATTTGACTGAAGTTCATCAATAGCCAATGAAAATCCTCAAGTGGCTATGAATTTTGGGAACTTCAGTTCATTGCCCTCGGATCTTAGAAGTCCAAACTTTGTAATTTTGAATGATATTAGATTAATACAAAGAATGGGATTCAATAATTTTATGGTTGCATTGTACAGCATAAGACTTGAACATCGTGTTTTGACTAGTTTAAATACGGGTGCTCATCACATTTTTATTTTCTATGGCTTTTTAATGGTATTAAAGGTTTTCACAATTTGTTAGTTTTCATATTTATGTATCTAGTTTTTTTTTCTTTTTGTATTCTTATTATCTTAATTTTTCATTATTTAGCACATCTCATTCTTCTTAATGATTTTGACATTTTGTTCAAAATGTAACCGCGTAAAAAGACTTATCTACACATCTTATTGTTGACAACAATTTTTGTCCTTCATTTCTAAGTACGTTAACAAACTATTTGGACAAAAGTCATCACTATAGACTAAACGTGTTAATCAACGTAAGATTGATGATAAGAATGTGAAAAATATAATGTGATTACATTTATCTTGAATAATAATATGCGTAGTTGCACTACTAACTAAACATGTATTTTGACAATTTATTTTAAATTTATGACAAAATAAATATTTTGAAAAACTAGTTTTATAATCAAAGGAAATTAAGCAATACTTAAATCAACTAGAAATATTTCAATAATATAATGCCTCAAACTTTAAGGAAAATAAGAAAACATACTTCAGACTAACTACTAAATCAAAATAAACTAATGAAATACTGAAAATAAACTAATCAATATTATCGAGCACACCTTTTCGATCAAGCGATCAATATTGTCATTTGGATCAGGAAAAAATAAGAGACGTCTAAGTGAGTTACATCAATTAGATCATTATAATCAGCAAAATTTGCCTCAACTTTTCTTTTTCCTTAATTGATTTTTAGTAGAGATCCATACAATATTTTGTCGTACGACAGTTACGTGTCAAAATACCCTTTCATTACACATCTAAATCAACTTTACTCGTACTCCTTTTTAGGTATGCTACTTTCATTTGCTTTGTACATTCTAAAACTGTTGTCTTATTTCTGATAATTTTGTTGATTATTTTATCTATGATTTCTTCCACATCAGTCTCTGCATCTTGATATTACATTTGGCAAACGCAATACCATTTGTTTCAAGTAATGGTATATAATCAGTTGGACGTAACACATAACTTTTCATCAGCAATTCATTATTTTGTTCAGTTATAAGCAAGCAAGATATGAGTTCTAAATATATTTTGAAACCACGCTCACGATATTGCTACTGTAGGAGCACATTCGAAGTATGAAAGGTGGAAAAAGTTTTCTCGTACATATTTTTTTTCATACAATGTCAATTTTGAATATATTTTGAACAGTTCAGAATTGTACTTACTACAAGTTTTAAAGTCTTGCAAGCGAAGATATATCCATTCATAATGGGCTTTGAGGAGGACTACAGTCTTCTGATAATCAAAGTCATTTTTCAGAGAACGTGTAGATCTTTCACAGTGACGTATTCAATTTTCAATCCTTCATGATAATTATGACAAAGAAAATATTAGCTTTTGCACAATCCAATAGGGATTCTTGATTTTCTTCCTCTATTATCTCTCTTATACCTTCAGACGAGATAAATAACAGCATTGATGACCCATGACGAATAATTTTTACCAGATATATTGAGTGAAACAAACTCAAATTTTGTAATGTTTATCATTTGAGTAACTACGCACTAAAATAAAAGAAAATACAATTACTTTCAAAAAATATGATTAAACATTGTATATTCACATAATAATTAATCCATCAGTCAATGTCAACATGACATAAGTTATATGTTTTTCTTCAGTGAAACACTAATTCAAAATGATATATTTTTCAAAATATGTGCTACTTTGAGAACACGTTATATTTTACTATTATTTTTTCAAAATTAATATGTCAATATTCTTCTAGAATATTGAAAATTGTAATTCATACTTTTTAGGAGCAAGTAATATTCTTCTGAAATATTAGTTATAATATTATACTATTTCAGGAGCAATAACAAACTTCTTTTTTGTTTGATAAACATTAGCTCTTTAGGAGCCAATAATAGTATCACATTGTATTTTCTAGGGAACAAACAACAAAATATTTTTTGAAAATATTTATGAAATTGCGATTTACAATAAAACAGTTAACAAGTGTAAATTATAACATCATATCCACATATACCATATATAGCAATTGTAATTGCAATTTATATTAACTGAATAGTTTTGGCAGTGAATCAAGCATTATCATTCAACTAAAATGAATGCAGCCGTAGTGAAGTACATACAAATAAAATTAGGTTGATCAAATATCCATAAGATTGCGTCAACGATTACCAATTACGACCAAGGTGTGCTTTTAGCCCATTTTTAATACATTTTTCTCTTTCTTATTTTCAATCACATATTCTCTAATAAAATAATATTACAGGTAAATAAAAAAAAATTTCCTTTTTTTACCTATACATTCTTCCAAAAATTACTATTACAAAATACGTTATTTTCAAAAATCTCATTCTAATGGGGCTAAACAAAGGCTTAAAACAAATAAAAGCATTGAAGTTGATTAATAAAAATGAATTACCAAATGCACATAATCCACCATATACATACAAATAAAATTTAGGCAATATATGAGATATGTATTGAAGAGCTATATCCAAACTTTAAGTCTTTGTTTGACTCTCATTGTTTCAATTTTTTTTTCTAGATACTTATTTTCAAATACGCATTCACAAAATAAAATATTTTACACGCACACTTAAAACTTTTTTCTACTTTTTAACTGCACATTATCCAAAAATTTACTATTTTAAATAATGATTTTCAAATAAAATGACTACCAAACAGAGGCTAAATCTCAACTTTTAAACATTTAAGCTATTGATATTCTTTTTACAAGGTTTTCATCTTAGACGAGTTGAATATACACTTACACCCTCAAGTATGGACATATTTATAATGAGAAGTGCTACAAGTACATAATGTTACACATAATAGTGTCCATAATTACATATAGCACTGGATCCAACCTTTAATTCAAATTTCACACTTTCACATCAACAACAAGATTTTGTCCACATCACATTATGGACATCATTATGTACCCAAATTATGTACATATAGAATTTTCCATTTATAATAGGAATAAATTTTAGATTGAGATAGATACATAAAAGTGGTATGGATATATAATATTTAAATATATGGATTTAATAAGGATATTATTGGAATGTAGTGTGGTTGAATATATAATTATTTTTTAAAATTTTTGAAAATTTTAAAGGGATAAATTTTAAAAATTCTCATTTTCATTATTTGAATTACTTCTATCTGAATTATCGCTGCCATAATTTCCATCACTATCAAGATCAAGATCAAGATCAAGATCATCAAAATGCAATTCATCCTGACAACATTTAAAATTCAACATTACATCATATATGTTTTAATAAAAAGCAGAAACAATAGAACCAATCAAACAATCAGGGGCGGACCCGGGGGGTCCTGGGGAGTCACGTGACCCCCAACTTTTGATTTTTTTTTAATAAAGTCATGTTTGGTATCGATAGAAATCTAAATTTTAATTTAAATCAAAGTTGACAATTAATTTTAACAACATATTTCATGGAATCCATAACTGTTTAACTTTTATCAAAATTTACTAAAAAGTTGATTTTAATCTCTACCAAATATGGGCAAAATCACAATAAATTTGAATTTTTTTTCTTTTTTCTTTTCTCTTACTCTCTTTTACTATTTTCTTCACGCATTTTATTAAAATCTTAACCCTTCTAATTTTTTAAAATTTGTATATCATTTCTTTACAAATTATCACATTTACTACAAATCTNATATGTTTTTCCTTTCGATTACTTGAATTGATTGTTTGTATCAAATACATAATAAGATTTTTAAACGTAAATATGCATTTTCTTGTGATGAACAAAACATTAATGAAATAACTCTTCGAACTCAAATGAATGAAAATGATTAGCAAAATATTAATGAAGAAATGTTTTTTTTAAATTTAAATCTGCATTGTTTCAAATCAAGTGTGAATTATTCAAAAATCAAGAATATTCGATTTGTAAATAGTTTGATTGCACCCCCTAACATAAAATGTCTGTGTACACCCATGCAAACAATTATTATCATTTTGATCGTTTTGTATAGTACATGCACCTAAATCATGACGAATGTTTCAAACTCATCATCTACCAAATTTTGTGGCTCCTCCTATAATACCCAATTTTCATAAAAGTCAAACCTTTCAAACTCGTTAAGATCATAACATGACAGTGAGTCAGTGGCAGTTTCGAATAGCAAGTTTTAAACTAAATAATTCAATTATGAACCAATGTGAATAACTGAGAACTTGCGCAGGTAATTCAGATTATAGGAATAGTAAACATTATATGCAACTTATTCAAAAAATTTAATCTGAATCTATAGACAGTGTAGTCATAAATGACATGGAAAAACAAATCACAAGTTGGTATCTAGGAAAAACGACTAGTATTCACCCTTTAGCATATCAAATACAAGCTGAAGGCTTTTTAAGTTGTACTAGTTCAGTTCACAAGTTATGCATAACTCAACTCTCACCAAGTGATAGATGACAAAATGGTAGTTATATTCACAAAACAGAGTTGAAGGCATGGAGGACATCTCAAACATGGGTGGGATGAATGTCAAGTGCGTCTACCAATGTTGCACTGCATATTAATTCCCAACGTCA